TATCCTCCGATGGAAAAGTTAACGTTTGCGCTTGTGATGGCAGCCCGGAAATTACGGCTATACTTCCAAGAGCATTCTGTAACTGTTCGCACTTCGTATCCACTTCGGCAAATCTTGCACCGACCTGACACCTCGGGACGCATGGTTAAATGGGCCATTGAGCTCGGACAATTCGACATCCATTATCAACCGAGGACCGCAATCAAGGCTCAAGCCTTATCTGACTTTATCGCTGAGTTTACCCCGACCATCACAGTTCATTATAATAATCAACCATGGGTACTCTATATTGATGGCTCCTCAACAGCTAACCGAGCAGGTGCAGGGATAGTCTTAGCTGATCCAGAAAATTGGTTATTCTGTCACTCGGTGAAGTTCCTCTTCCCGGCAACAAACAATGAAGCCGAATATGAAGCGCTGCTATCCGGACTGAATTTGGCAGAATCCATGAACGTGACTCACCTCAAAGTCTTCTCAGATTCCCAACTCCTTGTCAATCAAATCAATGGTTCGCATGAAGTCAAAGAACCTCGGTTAACACCCTATCTCTCTTTGGCCAAACGGAAGTTATCGAAATTCTCCGCCGACCTCGAGCATATCCCCCGAACTCTTAATGTTCAAGCAGATGCCTTATCTCGACTTGCGTCCAGTACCGGGATGGAGAGCGCGGAGTACGTCCAAATCGGCCAGCAAGAACAACCGTCAACTGCCCTTTCTGAGGTCACGGCCATCAATCCGGTAACATCACAAAAAATCACCAACTTGGATGGATCCTATTATCCACTACCTAGAAACTGGGGCCTTACCTTCAGACCCAAAAGAAGCTCGAGCACTTCGGATTCGGGCAGCTCGGTACACGTTAGACAACGGAACTTTGTTCAAAAGGGGATACTTCGTTCCGCTTTTGAAATGCGTAAGTGAAACTGATTCACGATACATTCTTGAAGAAGTCCACGAAGGGATTTGCGGAAGTCACCCCGGTGCACAAGCATTATCCTATAAAATCCTGCGACAGGGTTACTACTGGCCGACCCTGAAAACCGACGCCGCCACATGGGTACGCAAATGCCCGAAATGCCAAACGTTTGCACCAAATGTTCATCAGTCTCCCGAAGAACTCAAATCGATCTACAATCCGTGGCCTTTTGCCAAATGGGGGATTGATCTTATAGGTCCTCTACCAACCGGAAAGGGAGGTGTCCGATTCGCTATCGTGGCAGTCGACTATTTTACTAAATGGGCCGAGGCCGAACCGTTAGCCACGATAACCGAACAGAAGGTCGTCGATTTTGTGTGGAAGTCAATTATCTGTCACTTCGGGTGCCGAATTCCATCATAACCGACAATGGTAAACAATTTGAAGGCAAACGATTTGAATCCCTGTGCGAAGAATACAACATCAAGCACTTCTTCTCATCGCCTTACCACCCGCAGTCCAACGGCCAGGTTGAAGCGGTGAACAAGCTCATAAAGAACGGTCTCAAAGTCCGACTTGACGCCGCCAAAGGAGCTTGGCCTGAGGAGTTACCACATGTCCTGTGGGCTTACCGGACTACCACTCAGACGTCTACCGGCGAGACCCCATTTTCCTTACCTTACGGTTCAGAAGCCGTGGTCCCGGTTGAACTCGGAGAGCCGACATACCGAGTTCAACATTTCACCGAAGAGGCCAACTCGGAAAATTTGAAAACTGATCTGGACCTACTTGAAGAACACCGTGCCCGGGCCGAACTCAGGAATGCCGCGTACAAGCAAAGAAATGAAAGATATATCAATTCTAAACTCAAACCCCGTTCGTTCCGAGTTGGAGATTTGGTCCTCAAACGTATAATGGGGCCTGACCCCGGACCACCCAGACCGCGATGGGAAGGACCCTTTCAAATCATTAAAATCCTACCTCATAGGGCCTACCAGATTGCTCATCCCGATGGAACACCACATCAATATCCCTGGAATGCAGTGTTCTTGAAAAAATTCTATCAGTGAAGGATCCGAAGTCGAATAGTCGACCCCCTTCTTGCACGGACCTTCTTTTGCCTCGGTGAATGCATGAAGTCACCCTTTTGATGTACTGAAAAGCCTGTCAGTTTGCGTTTTTGAAAAGTCGAGCAACAAGCTCGATATCGATGTAAACCTTTTGAAACTCGGTTATATGAATATATCATGTTGATGTAAGCATTGCGACACTCGGTCTAGCTGATACCCCATAATATGTCCGAACACCATATATTTTCGGACGGGGGTGATACTCGTCAAACGTCATTTCCATATACATGATCTGACGGGCCCCGAATATTACCGAATACACAACATATAAGTCGGTTGGGGCCATTCCATAATCGAACTCTGACGAAGTTCGGTGACTTTCGTTTTATTCCCCGTACAGCCCTAGAAATGTGTTAAGTCCCGCGAAGTTATTTGAAAACTCGCATATCGACTTACACTTGTGGCTGAGATTCTTATGAACGATCAAAGTGGAATTCGGAGATTATTTTTACAAAACCTTACAACTCGGATCATGATTTCAATAATTCCGAGTTAAAGCAGTTCATTTTACAAAACAAACCGAATTCAAAACACTTTGACAAAATCGCTGAAATTTGCACAACAAACATAAATCAAAATCAAAAGTACGCAAACACTTTATATATATATTCTGAAACGATGGGAAATCCCTTACATATTTCCTACTAAGGGAATCGGTTACCCGATATCCCCGATTATATATCACAAACTTCGAAATATTTCCTACTAAGGATGCCGACATGCCGGCACCCCGATTACATACTGCAAATAACACAAAACAATAAAAAAAAAAGAACATGAAATAAACTTCAGACCTCATCAGTCGGCTTCTCCACATTCTCCCCGGTGCCGCTGCTTTCTCCGACTTCGGTCCCAGAAGATAGTCGCTCCAAGACTTGCGACTCCTTCATCTTAGTAGCAGCTTCAATGGCCCCATCTGGCACCGGAATGAAATCATCACGAGGGTTAGCCAGCTTCTCTACGTCATCTTCAACCGGCGTAACTACCTTCACCACTTCAATATTCTTATCAACCGACCTTGCCTTCTCCTCGATGTACGCTTTGACCCGGCTCTGAATTTGTTCCGGAGTCATGTCGTCGAAATGCTGTTCGACCTCCACCTCGGCCAAAGTTGAAAGGTACACGTTGGCCAGCTCCTTCCTTTTTTCCTTCTCCTCCTCTAAGATCATGTTGACGTAAGCACGTCGGAGGAGAGCAGCCCTATCCTCGGAGAGCGGCGGCAGATCAGGATTTGCATTCATCTCCTCCGAACGACGGAGCATCCATACACAGAAATCCCGTTCATCTTCATCAGCCGCCACATGCATTCCCTTTATCTCCGAGTCAAATCCATACTTCTCCAATTTATGGAAAAGAAACAAGCGAAGGTCGTCAATATCGTAGTAACCGGCATCATAGCGCTTAATGACCCATCTCAGATTCAGGCAGGTGTTCATTTCAATCTCGAGATCGGGCCCACCAACTTCATCATCTTCACCGGCCTCAGCAACTTCCATCTCGGCATCACCACCGGACTTCGGTTCAGCGACAACCGAATCTTTTCCGGCTTGAAAACCATTCTCATACATAAACTCGCCGTAAGATGATTTCTCCCTCTCAAGTTTGGCCATCTCGGCCTGATGAGCGTCTTTTTGCCGACCAACAAGTTCGCGAGTCTCAGCACATTCTTTGCGAGCCGCATCATAATTAGCCTTTTCCTCCGACAAGGCCTTCTCGGTTTTCGCCAGTTTAGCCTCAGAAATTCTGAAATGTTGCTCCACCACGGCAAGGCGTGCTTTGAGATCTGCCACTTCGGCCTCATATGCCTTCTTCTCCTCTGATAATGTCACAGTCTCAGCCTTTGCCCTCTCCAACTCGGCAGCCTTCTCAGAAATCTGGCCCTTCAAGTCGGCCTCCATCTTGGCGGATTCTTCCTTCAATTGGACGATCACCACATCGCGCGCAGCTATGATGTCCTTTTTTCCCTCCAATTGCGACGCAACTCGGCGATGATCGTCCTCGGCAGCCACCAAACTGACCAAGGCCCTGCCCACACATGCCTTCGCATAACTCAGCCTATCAACGCTGGACAGAGAAGAGACTCCCACCTCGGATTTGGGGTCCCAAACCATCAGTGGAACCCGAGCAGCGTTTCTGGCATTCTCTGGCATCTCGATCCTTGACGACATATGCGGAGTCTTGACGGACTGAAACGTGGTGAACCATTCCTCCACCACGCCTTCGGGTACCTTCACATTAGCCGTCCGCTCCTCGTCAATGCTCAAAAAAGACTTCTCAAATAAGGGAGACTCATCGTGTCCCTTTTCAGCAGCTTTGCGACCAGAGTCATGTTTTTTCTTCGATCTCTTCTCCCCCCCGGAAGAAGCTCCGACATCTGCCATCTTCACCAATTTCCTCTTCTTCCTCTTCTCCGGTTGCTCCAACTCCAGGGACTTCGGAGAAGATGGTGGCACCTCGGTATGAGCAACCTCAGCCGTAATCATTTCGGTCCCGGCTATGACTGGTTCAGGATCTGCTTGGTTAATCGCTGCAGCCTCCACTACCGACAACACTTCGGTAGTTGCCACGTCTGGCACAGACTTCGGGTTTTCAGGCATGGCGGCCGAGGTCGCACTCGACCCCACCTCGGTCGACTTCTTCCCAGTATTCTTTTGACCGGCAGTCTTCTTCACCAACGCACGAACAAGATCCCTCCTCATGGCGTCGTTCAATCTTAAATCCCGACTCTTACCAACTTTGGACTGAAGGTCTCTATTCGGAAATTTACGCCTAAACTCCTTGGCTTCCTTGACAGAGTTATAACCCAGAAAACCGAGGAGGGGATAATACACTGCATATCGACAAAGGATAAATAAAGTTACAAACAGCTGTTCATCGCATATGAAAAATTCGACAACATCGTTACTGGTTAAAATTATCTTATCGGGGTCAAACTTCGATGTAGTAACTCCCAGAGACAAACCAGCCGCTTCAAGTTTCGAGTCTATTAAGAGCTTGCGATAATCCCTATCTTCTTTATTCAGACCGGCCAAAGTTATCAACTTCCCACCGAATTCCGGACTTAACTTCGGTTCTTTTTGCTTAGTCTCTTTTTCTACACAGAGTAAAAGTTCCGACCTGTTAGTACACAGAACAACACCGAAATCAGAAAAATATATCCGAATTGAAAAAAATAACACAAACTCACTGGCTCCGGAATGAATTAACATGGGGATTGTCATCCCATCAATTCGGTGCTCGTGAAAGAA